TGAATTATCATTTGATGTGTTGATATTCTATTATTTTTTTTATCAAATGACATTCAGTAAGAATTATCAAACTTATTTTTGTTCTTTTATAGATGATTCAATCGAAACAAATGACCAACAACGAGCAGTTTATGCTTTTCAATCTCGTGCAACGAGCTATACGAAAGAATTTTTCTCAAATAAATTTTCTTGGCTACTTTATTCAAGAAATTGCCAGAAACGTTTCAGTAATAGAATGCGGTCGATACAGGTATATCTGATTTACTGCTTTTTATACTCATGATTGTTTCAAAAATAGAAATATAACATCTACGATATATAGACTTCCTTTCACGAAAAAAAATACGTTAAGAATGAATCATTTTTCAAAAAATTCAAGGAAACACGATCCTTCTTCCTCTTCGAACAAGCACAGTTAAAATACAAAAACATATGTTTCTTTCATTTAGTCTCTCAACATTATCCATCACTCGTTTACTGATTCAATGTGGAGCCGATGTAAATCAAATTTGTGATCGTCAGAGAAATCGACCATTATATCTTATTGCAAAATGTTCAAATATTGCAATAGCAAGTCCTATTATTGAATTACTTTTCGCATCGGGTGCCCATCTTGATACCAATAATCTTATGAATCGTTTGCCGCAGGATATAGCACGGACATCTGATATTAGAAAATTACTTTGTAGAAGTCAAAAACTCTCGTTCAAGTGTCGATGTGCTCAAATAATTGCTTCATCGAAGTTTTATTATTAAGATCACTTAAATTCAAACCTCGTTGCTTTCGTACAGTTGCATAGTAATCCAAAATCCAATCAATCATCAGCCTTCCTTTACGATGACGATGATTCATGGGGAAGTCGATATTGAATATTTTGAAAATATAGTTTCTTGAAATCTGCAAAATCCTCGTCAACTCTATACAACCAGATCAAACACAATATTTCATACGACCAAATATATCCAGATTAGTCATGTGAAAATCATTCATATAGCATGTATTCAAGGTGACTCAAGCGATTGGCACAAAAAAATGAATCTATAAAATAACGAGTATTAGTAAAAGCGGTTTTGTTTGTGTTTTATGAATAACTGAGCTAAAATCAATTCAGATATTTTTTTAATGGTTTTTGTGTTTGTTTTCAAATAGTTCATCAAAATAAATACAACTAGTAAGTTGGAATACAATTAATGATTTTGTTTTCAATTATTCGACTAGAGAATCAAGGGTTAAGATTTGAAAAATGATCTTTTTGTATTTTTCGAGAAAGTAATTTTTTTTAAAATGTGTCATTGAAAGATGTTTTGAATACACTTCAACTTACAGACACTCCAATATTTTTCATTGCATTATTGCCTAGCGAAATTTACTTTAGCAATAATTTCAAACATATAAAAATTTCGTTATTAGTCTGTGTTCAATCAACATCATCGCTTCATCGCAACAAAAAGAATTATATCAATAGTCAGTAATGTGCATCATTCGTCATTTGGTTATCGTACATTTTTCTGCACAAATCAAAGTAGCTATTCAAGTAAACCCACTGCAAAAATATCGTCTGTCCATGAAATATAGCGCAAAGTTTATACGTACATATAATAAGATTGAGTTTGATAAATGGAAATGCTTTATGCCATGCAACAAATACATGTGACTTGACTACAACGAAATATAAATGAACGAATATCATAGAGAGTCGACGTTAAAATTGTCTTTAGAATTTTTCACCAATGCTTCCGTATCACTAACATATACTATAGTGGAAGTCATTAAATGTTGTATTCAACTTTTGTGCTGTGAAAAAAAAGAAATGATAGGTTAAAAAGGACTCATTCGAGTTCTAGATATTTAATTGTAATGGGAATCTTTTCGTAAGACTAAACTTGATTACGTGTAGAAAAAGGAGAAGAGCTATACAATACTGACAGCGCATTTCTTGTATCTTTCATGTCTAAAAGGTTTTGAAATATGTCTTAAATTAATCAATCAATCAAATATGTCTCGGTTAAAGTCGAATCGAAAGTGGTTTTCATTTCTGTTGGTTAAAATGGAAAAGCTGATGTCTGTTATGAAAGAGAGGTCATTAGCTGCTATTAATTTTGTATGATAAAGGTAGACTAGTGAG